AGAAGGTGCTGGAAACAGTGGACGTCAGCCAATTTCAAGTTTGAACTGCCCACCGTTTCTTGCAGTTGAGGCCTGCAGGGAGCACTTGGTATTTCCCTATCGTTTGTTGCAAAATAAAAATAAAAATCTTGTCATTCAGTGCCTCATTTGTGTTGGTTTGTAGAATAACTTGTTCATCTTTGTTTTGACTTCTAAGTCGAATACCCTCGTTTGAGAAATTTCATGCCTCTATTTGTCTCTGCTTTTTTCGTATCAGTAATGCTCTATTGACAAATATTCTTAATATTTCATTTTGTATTTGATTATAAAATGCAGGGTGTTCATCCCTGTGACAAGAGGAGCAGCGTAACAAAATACCGTACTCTCTTTCCTGCCATTGATTTTTCCTTGGCAAGTACTTACTGTTGCTAATTCACAAGAACATTTCATGAGACAGTATCTTGATGGTGTTTTTAATATATGTGTGCTCACGCTCTTTACAGATAGAGAATGATGAAGATGTTCTTTGGGAACCCAATGTCAGAGAAACAAATGAGTCTGTTGCTCTGAGGGGCATGAAGTTCTTTGACTGGTAATTTTCCTTCCTAAGATTAGTTAGTTTCTTTTCATTAATGTCTTGAATATATAAAAGCCTGATGCTCTGGTTTTATAAACATGAAACACTAGTACCTCAATAAATATTCATCTGCATCCCCTATATCACTTTTCGTTATTTTTTCTGCGTCATTCAAATTAATTTGTTCACCCAAACAAGAAATTTATTGACCACTCCTGACCTGACAGGATCCCATGTTCCTAGCGAATCATGTTATTTGCCTCACTTTCATGCATGGACTGGAAGGCAGAAGCGGACTATATATGTTACTTTATCTACGTTAACACTTGTTACATGATTTAGAGATAAACTGGAACTGGTGATGAAGGATTGTGCCCCCACACAATGCTTCCTCTGATGCTTGTTTCTCATACACCAGTGTGTTATCACTGAGTGACTTATTTGACATTAGAAAGTTCTAGATGCTGGAGATTTATGTGTAGCATGTAGTGGGAAAGACAAACCTCAGATTAGATGACCCCTTGAGTCGACCAGTAACTTTATTTTTGGTAGCTGGATTAAATTAAACTATTCCTCGGATGTGCTTGCAGGTTATGGACAAGACAAGAGAAAGAGATTGCTATTGTCAGCCATAGCGGTTTCTTGTATCACACCCTAAACATGTACGGTAAAGAGTGTCATCCAACCATAGCAGAGGAGCTGGGCAAGCAGTAAGTAATTTATTCCCCTTGCAACTGAGCAATCAACTCACCATATTCTGCAAACTTCGAGCATCTCCAATAGCATACCTAAAGTTTGGCTACCCAAATCCATTTTAGGCAGAGGAGAGAGAAGATTTGGGTAGCCAAAAAAAAAAATCTCCTCTTACAACGTACTAAAATTGGATACCCATATTTTCGAAACCAAATAAAACATAGAGATAACACATAGTTCATCTCATAATTAAGCATCAGTTGCACATTAAACACAGCTAAATTGACACTACTACCATCATAATTAATCATCCCTACCACTAAATTGAGACTAAAACTAGCTATATTGCAATTAAAACTAGGTGCCGGAGGGGCCGGCGTCGTCGTCGAACATCTCCTCGGTGAGCTCGTCGAGCTCCTTGAACATCTCCTCACACTCGGCGTTGAGTCGGGCGATCCGCTCACGCTCATGATCGATCTTGCACAATTCCTTCATCTCAAAGAACGTGCTGTTCTCGGTTCTCCTCGATGAGAGCTGCCATGAAGGCGGCATTGGTGCGCTTGGCCCCGAGTTGTTCCTCGGCCTTGCGGTGTTCCTTCTCCTCGGCCCGGGAGACGACCCTAATGGGAGCTGCGGTCGTGGCCACAGTGACGGTGACGGTGTCGGCGTGAGAAGTTGAGCCTTGCCAGGCTCCCGAAGAAGCGAAGCGTTGTAGGCGCGCACCGCCTTCTCTGTGGTGGTGAACGTGTGAAGCCGCACACGTGCCTTCGTTTCCGGGTTATGGATCTCAGCCGCAAACTTACAGCATGGCCGAAGCCTCACGCTGCGGTGCTTCGGGGTCCGTGGTGGTGGCTTCAACATGTTTGGTGGTGTAGTGCTCGGGGACGGCGGCGGTGGCGGCCGAGCTCGAACTAAAAAACGGTGGTGCCAAGCTCGGTGACGGGTGGCAGGGAGCTGTGGGACGACTTGAATCGTGGGGCCTGGGCGGGGAGGATCGCGATGGTCGGCCCCGAGCGGTGGGATTCGGTGGTGGGGTCGCGGTTGGGCTTGGGTATAGAGCGGAAGTGGCGGCGGCGAAGTTTAACAGGGCAGCCATTTTTGGTGGTTTGGGTAGTGTGGTAGGTTGGGCCCAAATATGGGTCCTTGGTAGGAAAATTTTGATGGCTACCCAATTTTTTTTTATCCCCATGCATATAGGTGTGTTGTTTGAGCAGTTTTTTGGGCAAAAAACCCAAAATTCTGTTTTTAGGTCTTGGGTTAAATTTTAGGTATGCTTTTAAAACAAGATAGGAAATTTTAGGTATGCTGGGAGAGCACAATATTTGTCGGATGTAACCATTGGAACTTTAAACCATAGAAAGTATAAGCAAATTGCAATCTCAGTATGATGATTCTTGTGCTAGACCCTAAAATGTTCAACAGTTAAATGATGAGCATGTTGCTAACTTTTGACTTGGTTATATACAGCTTTGCCAACTGTGAGCTCCGGTCGATGGTCTTGGTCGACAGAAGGTCAGTTCTTATTTCGCCTCAGCGGTTACGTTGCAGTTGACGCTTTGCTTTTTTATAACATGGATTTGCTTTGCAACGCTCGCTGCAGTAACCTTGGATCGGATACCTCTAGATACAACTTCGCTGGGAAGATACCGACCGGGCTTGATATGCCCAGCGATGTCGCAGACGAGAAGCAGGCTGAAGAAGCTAGCAAGAACTGAGGTTGTTGAGCACATGGATGTCTTTGATTCTTTTATCAAACCCCGGTTCTGGCTGACAATGAACTCAGAATAGATGAGCGACGTCTACGGATAGGACTTGCCGTCTGTTGTTCCGGTGTATGATGGGCACGATTGGTCATGTTTATCTGATTTGTTGTTTGAACAGATACCCAAATTCATGGGAAATAAGGACTTATACGCATACCCCTCCTTTTGAGAATGAGGGCAATAGATTGAACCCTAAATAGCATTTTAATAACAGGTAAAATAACCAAAAATTCCTTTTGGAGGCCGAGCTCTGTGAAGGCCTCAAAATGCAAAATTCATGAAAATTTATGCTCCTCCCGTCCCAAAATAAGTGTCTCAACTTTGTACTTACTTTAATACAAAGTTGTATTAAGATTAAGACACTTATTTTGGAACAGAGGGAGTATTTTACATTTCTTTTTTTTAAGAAAATACAGGGATAGATGTGCGGTAACCTCAGTTTTGTCTCCTAAACATTTGTGAATGCTTGTCTCCTAAACATTTGCGAATGTGCCAGGTCAGTGTGCGGGCATGTTTATTTTGAGTCTTTGTGTATTCATGAGACGCAACTATGTTTCTATTTTTTTTTCTTTATACATGTCCGATCATATGCATGTGATTGAATTAGATGAAGAAAGAAAGAGAAAAAAGAAATAAAGAAAGAGGAAAGATGACCCAGTGTAGGCCAAATCCTACATGGGGCATTGCCCAAACACGTCCCACGACCCCTCATAATGCCCTCGTATATAAGATGAGTATGAGAAATGACACACAACTCAGATGTTTAAATGGATCTTCTTAGGGTTATAAAAGGCATTTCCTTTTAGTTTCTTTTAAGAGGAACTACCACATGTTCATTCAACAAATAACTTACAGGGTGTACACACATGGTGGCTCCATAATAAGACGAACGCAAAGGCAATTGGCATGTGAATAGGAGAAAGAGAAACCCAGTCAGATGCCTCTTTTAACCATAAAATAAAATATCCAAGTTGAGGAGAGACCGACGATGGCGATGGGGCGGCGCGCGTGCTTTGCCAAGTCAAAAATCAAGCAGCCGAAGAGGACACGGCTGACGGCTTCCTCCTCCTCCACCACCGCTGCTGCCGCCGCCGCCGCACTTGGTTTAGCTCCTCCTCCTCCTCCTCCTCCTCAGGTACCGCCGCACCCCCTCCCTGTATGGAAAGATCGACCCCCTGTCCTGTTTCTCGCGGAGGGTTGGTTGTCGCCGGGCTCCCACCCTCTCCTCTTCCCAGCACTGACCTTCTCCTCCACCATTCCGCCGCAGCGCCAGATCTCGACCGCATGTTTGGGGATATTAGAGAAAGGGGATGGGAGTTTGCTAGGGGATTAGGCATGGGAGGTGGCTGATTTTTACTCCCTCCGTTCCTAAATACTCCATCCGTCCCAAAATACGTGTCTCAACTTTGTATTACTAAGTTTGAGACGGGAAAGTATAAGTCTTTTTAGATATTTTAATATGGACTACATACAGAGCAAAATAATTGAATCTACACTCTAAAATACGTCTTCGTATGTCCGTATGCAGTTTGTATTGAAATATCCAAAAATACTTATATCTTGAAACGGAGGGAGTAGTCCTAAACCCATGTTTGGTGCGCGGTGAGAGTTACTTGTAGGAATTTGGGAAGAAGTTTCATCCCACCTCAACTAACAGGGGTAAGACCGGGCAAGAGATACCTGGGAGGGAATGAATTGACCTCCTCAATTCCCTTTCCCCTTCCCTCCTCAACTCCCTTGCCCAGCAACCGAACAATGGTTTATATGTCTCATCATACCTCTCAAACTCCCATTCCCAGCTACTAATTCACCCCAACCAAGCACGCTTACATATAAAGCCGGAGGATCAGACATCTACCGCATTGCAGCTGAAATGATTCTTCTTTGTCGCATATAACAAGAATATAACTATGCTCGGATTACATTTTCTTTGACCGTCTAGTTCGTTGATGGATGATATTATAATTATCCGTTTATGTTGGGCAGAAATGGAGGCCGGTGCCGTCACAGCTCTGTATCCCGCGCACCGATGCAAAACCATATACCTGGTACTGCACTTTGAGCTGCTCTTTGAGTCTACCTTTTACCCAAGGATGTGGCATCAATTATCGGTGACAAACCTGCAAGAGAAGTGTGAACAATCTGTTTCCGTGTAACCAATGTGTGCAGGTGAGGCATGCCCATGGTTTTCACAACGCGGCAGAAGAGTCGGATATTATAGACCACACTTCACCTACGCTGCTTGATGCTCAACTTACCCCTTTGGGCTGGAGCCAAGTAAGGTTTCTTGTTTTCTTTACATTATCCCCATGCATTTCAACCACTGCTCTTAGCATTATCAGTTCTATGGCTGACTAAGGTGGTGCTTTTAGTCAGATATTTAAGGTGAAAATGCGTCTGTGATGTTGACACGAGCACTAGAAATGGAAGCACCAATGCTCTCTTAGCACATTAGAAAAGCCCTTCTCCATTCATTTTGCCTTTGTGTTTCACCGCCACAGGATTGGATGGTAGCCTGTATTTCACTATCATGTGTTGCGCTCATGATATCAGGCCATCCATGGTACAATATTATCAAACATTAAGATTGTTTATATCGAAATGTGTAAATGTGGCATCATGTCATGATGCTTTAGTGATAGAAGTTCATTTCTGTAATCCAAGTGTTGGATACTCAATTCATTCACCTCACATAGTAACAGATCCTCATTGATGATGTTCAACCTTTATTTGTATGATGGCATCTTCTGTCAAATGCATTTGTGGCAGTTAGCAGTATTATGACAATGTCCAATACTTTTGTCTATGGTTATTCTGTCAAGCCTTCAAGGCTGAAATCCTAGAGAATACTTTTTCCTTACTAATGAAATCCTCACAGCGTAGCAGCCATTTCATATGCAAAACCTTAGGTTGTTAGTAGTTCACATGGTTCTTATTGCCGCCTTAAAAAATTTAAGTCCCCTGTGTTAGCATCAGCCTCTGACTAGAGATATCAACCCTAACCCCAGTTGTATCAGAACACAATGACACCACGTTGTTTTGGATGACATTGCAATGCCTTTAGTTGATTCCGTTAAGGCTGCGAGTCCATTTTTTGGGCATGTTCATTTGAAAGTCTTTTGTCTGCAGTTGTGTAATTAGTTGAGTTCTTTTCTGGCCCTGACGTATAATGTTGATCGAAATACCACTCAACTTTTTTTTATGTGGGATTTTCAAGTTCCATGGATGTTGATTAAAATGCATTTGTAGGTTGATTGCCTGCGAGAGCATGTGACGAAATCTGGACTAGCAAAAAAGATTGAGTTGGTTATTGTTTCCCCTCTAATGAGGTATAGTTTTCCTTGACCTTCTGGCCTTCTTGTACATTTTCAGTGTTCTGGATCTTCTTCTAAGCTTTTTATGTTCACTTGAACCAAGCTCACAGGACTATGCAAACTGCAGTGGGGGTCTTTGGTGGTGGGAACTATACTGATGGAGTAAGTGCACCCCCATTAATGGTAGAAGGTGCAGAAGACAGTGGACGTCAGCCGATTTCAAGTTTGAACTGCCCACCGTTTCTTGCAGTTGAGGCCTGCAGGGAGAAGTTGGTATTTCCCTATCATTTGTTACAAAATAAATAAAAATTTCTCATCATTTAGTGTCTCATTTATGTTGGTTTGTGTTAAATATTAACTAGAATAGGCTATTTTCACAGTTCCTAGAATAACTTGTTCACCTTTATTTTAACCTCTTAAGTCGAATATTCTCATTTGAGAACTTTGCGTGCCTCTTTGTGTCTCTTTATTTTCCATACGTGTCCCAAACTGGGAGCCGGATTCCATTATATGCATAATGGAACAGAAGCCCCTGTTTGTGTCTGCTTCTCCCGTATCAGCAATGCTCTGATGACAAATATTCTCAATATTTGATTATAAAATGCAGAGTGTTCTTACCTCCGACAAGAGGAGCAGCATAACAAGATACCGTACTCTCTTTCCTGCCATTGATTTTTCCTTGGCAAGTACCTACTGTTGCTAATTCACAAGAACAGTTCATGACAGTGTCTTGATGGTGTTTTTAATATACGTGTGCTCACACTCTTTACAGATAGAGAATGATGAAGATGTTCTTTGGGGACCTGATGTCATAGAAACAGATGAGTCTGTTGTTGCCAGGGGCATGAATTTGTTTGACTGGTAATTTTCCTTTATAAGATTGACTAGTTTCTTTTCATTAATGTCTTGAAAATATAAGCCTGATGCTCTGCTTTTATGAACATGAAACACAAGTACCTTGATAATATTCATCTGCACGCCCTATATCACTTTTACAGGAGTCCCATGTTCCTAAAGAATCATGTTATTTGCCTCACTTTCTTTTTTGAGGAATCACCGCCGGGCGGAGGTTCCCCACCTATATATTATTATATATTACTCGAAGTGACCCAAGGGTCTTGGTGTTAGAGAAAAGTTACAAGGCCTCGGAGATCTGTGAGGTGGGATAGTTGCGACTGGGCGGCCATGTTATCACTCGGTTCTTTAAACCGATGAGTCCAAGGTTCAAAGTCACTACAGATACTTCGAACAGTTGTCGACTTGCTATGATTTTTATTCCTGAAGACGGTCAAGACTCCCATATCTTCCATAGAATCGGTTAGCTAGTTAGTTACTTTCATGTATGGACTGGAAGGCAGAAGCTGACCATATATGTTACTTTATCTCCGTCAACACTTGTTGCGTGATTTAGAGACAAATTGGAACTGGTGGTGAAGGGTTGTGAAGTGCATTTAGTTTGACATTAGGAAGATCTAGATGCTGGAGATTTATGTGTAGCATGTATCGAGAAAGACAAACCTCAGATTAGGTGACCCGTTGGGTTGACCAGTAACTTTATTTTTGGTAGCTAGATTAAATTAAACTATTCGTCGGATGTGCTTGCAGGTTATGGACAAGAGAAGAGAAAGAGATTGCTATTGTCACCCATTGTGGTTTCTTGTATCACACCCTGAACACGTATGGTAAAGAGTGTCATCCAACCATAGTAGAGGAACTGCGCAAGGTGTAAGTAATGCATTCATTCCCCTTGCAACTGAGCAATCAAGTCAAGATAGTATAAGCAAAATGGACTAGTTTTCCTTTCTGGAAAAAGGAAAGAAAAATCTTTTGTACTCTTTGTCTTGGGATATCATGACCTGATAGAGTTACTTGTTCAGAGAACTTTTGTCTTGCAGTCTCAGTAATCTAACTAGTACTTGGTTATATACAGCTTCGCCAACTGTGAGCTCCGGTCGATGGTGTTGGTTGACAGAAGGTCAGTTCTTGTTTTTCTTCAGCGATAGCGTTGACAGTTAATGCTTTTTTTATATATAATGTGGATATGCTTTGCAACGCTGCAGTAAGCTTGGATCGGATACCTCTACATACAATTTCGCTGGGAAGATACCGGCCGGGCTCGATATGCCAAGCGATGTCGCAGACAAGAAGCAGGCTGAAGAAGCTAGCAAGAACTGAGACTGCCGAGCAAATGTATGTCTTTGATTCTTTTATCAAACCCTGGTTCTGGCTGACAATGGTCAAGTTTGAATTGCATGCCTGAAATCGAAGAATAGACGAGCGGGTAGGACTCGCCATCTGTCTCCGGAGTGTATGATCTGACACGATTCGTTATGTTTGTTATCTGAACACGCACCCAAAAATTCATGGGAATAAGGATGGTTTATACACGTACCCCTCTTTGGGAAACTTCGCAGATAGACTTGGTCAGATAGATAGCACATAGTTTTCCCGATAAATCACGTGTGGACATGCAGCCACGCGAGGTCGTTATCATCACCACTCGTTTCACGTGGTTCGTGCTACTCCAATACATTAATACCGTATAACATTGCTTCAGCTGGCTAATTTGTTCTCCTTGTCCATCCCTCCCAGTCTTGCCGGAGTTCCATAGCATGTGTTCGCCCCTGTTCCGGAGTAGTTCAACGCCGCCTCCATCGCACCACATGGCCAACAAGATGCCTCCACTCCCTCTTATCCGTTGCCCGGAATGCAGTTTCTGAAAGTGGGAGAACAAGTACATATAGTACTTCAGCACGCGTTGGGGACACCTGATTTCGCACGCGTTGGTCCATCTCCACATCACACTTCTCGAGCAGAACCAGGCATTGCTGAAGAACATTTTCATGCTTGACCTCGCGAACCTGCTGGTCATGGCCATGATCTTCCTCCACAAGCTCTGAAGTTTATCCCCTCTGTGTAGGGAGTGCCACGGTATTTTATATGTATCTTTTCTTGTGCTCTGTGCAATGCATGTATCCGTCATGGCCATGATCAATCTTCCTCCACAAAACTCTGAAGTTTATTCCCTCTGCGTAGGGACTGCCATTCTTTTTTCATATGTTTTGTTTGTGCTCTTCGAATTGCATGTACCCGCTAGTACGTTATGCTTGCTCATGTAGGCTTTTTTGAACACAGTACATACGCAAACGCTCATACATACACGCATACACTCACCCCTATGAACATATATGCACACTTTACTCCTATGAGCATCTTCGAGAGAATGAGCCGGCATGTCATCTTTAGATTTACGAAGTCACCGTAGGTGCCTTGTCGTCGAAGGGAATGTCTTCTCCCACCGTGAGCACCAGGACTTGAACCCTGGTGGGTTGGGGATACCACTATTCCTCTAACCAACCAACCACAGGTTGGCTCGCCTTCCTCTTGCAGGTTGGGAGGTGGTCCATCAGTAATTTTTTCTAGGAACCGTTGTGTGCATGCGGCAGTGTTTTAGCAAGTTTGTAATCGACCCGCACATAATTAGTCGACCCATAATAATCACAAAACAAATGTAAACACATTGAAACAAACGTAAATACACCAACATGAACCTCTCGAGCACACAGATCCAGTACATGCCCCCCAAAAATGTCGACATCCTATGGAGGACAGGTAAGAGCGGGTAGATGATTAGAGGTTGTCTCGTTCATTCCTACCAAAAACATGGGGGGAAACAACGGATAAAAACGAAGCTTTGATAGGCTAACCGGACGATCTCCATTTCTGCGGAAGCCATATCCTCTTCCGCCTTCTATTCTTCCACGAGTCCTGGCTCGAGGAAGATGTACAGTAAACAGTCAGGGACGGGGGAGCCCCCCCAAGGAGCCGTGGGGCGAATCGCTAGCAGACAAGGCTGTATTCCTACAAGCGTAAATTTGTTGTGGCCCACTCACAAAGAGTATATAGTGGGGCGTATTCCATTTCGTAAGCAATTACGCTGTGCAGTATTGCACATGGGGCCATATTAGGTAGCAATCACGATTGTCTCAAAACAAAACAAAAAAGTAGCAATCATGAAGTGCTTGCGGACGCACGTGATTACGGCATCGCGTGGTCGCATGTCCCGAAAATCCACGTCATAGTTTTCCTCGCCTGTATATTGTTGTCATTTGGCTTATTAACCCTCTATGTTTGACGGACATTGCTAGGGGCCATTTCATCGTCAAGCTAGAGTATATAAAAACTCGACCCAAGGGGAGAGAAATCCCGAAGGCGAGCTTGTTGACGAGCTTCCAATTCCAAACAAGACGCTGCAGCAAATGGCCGCTACCGTGAGCCTTTCCTACCAAATGGTACTACACATCTTCATGCTCCTCTGCTGCTGCTCCATATGGTCTCCACACCTGCCTCGTGCCACCTCCTCCATTTCTTTCACCTCCAACTTCTCCCATCCCGACTACGATGGCCGGGACCTCAGTTTCCAGGGCGACGCCTACTACGACTCCTGGTCTCGGACGATCCAGCTGACCCCAAACATCGGGAACAGCGTAGGCCGGGTGTTCCTCGCAGCGCCCGTGCCGCTGTGGGATGCCGTCACCGGCGAGCTCGCCCGCTTCACCACCTCCTTCACCTTCCAAATCAAGGTGAACAATACAAACACCGGTGACGGCTTGGCATTCTTCCTCGGGCATTATCCTCCGGTTCCTCGAGCGTGAGATGGGCGGCGGGAACTTCGGCCTCTTCAACCAGAGCGTCGGCACGGTCGCGACCGGCGACGACCGAGCCGTGGCCGTTGAGTTTGACACATACTTGAACGATGGCTTCGACCCCAGCGGCAGCCACATGGGCATTGACACCAACTCCATCATCTCACGGGCCTACACCAACGCCACCGTGCCTGGCAGGAACCTAACGTCCGGCCTCCCAATGACTTGCAACATCACCTACGGTAACGACACAAAAATCCTAGCAGCTCTTCTCCAGATCGGCGACACGACGTATCGCGTCAACATGACTGTTGACCTCAGGCAGTTCTTACCTAATCTAGTGGCCATCGGCTTCTCCGGTGCCACTGGCAAGGCGGTTGAACTACACCAAATAGTTTCCTGGTCATTTGACTCCACCCTGGATCCGCCGCGTGAGAGCCCCGGGAGTCGCCCTCCTGCACCTAAGACCCTGTTGCTAGTAGAAATAATAACTGGACCAGTTATTGGAGTCATTGCAATGTGCATCTTTGTTGGTGTCCGTCGATGGCAGCTATTCATGAGAAAAAAGCGTTACAGAGCTCTTGCCAGAGGCCTTGGGCCTATTGGTTATCATAGGTTGGCATGTGCAACCAACCAATTTGCAGAGGAAAACAAGCTTGGGCAAGGAGGTTCTGCTTCTGTTTATGAGGGCCAACTGGCAAGTCCAAGTAGACCGGTGGCGATAAAGATATTCAAGCAAACATCATCACGCGAGTGGAGGAAGGCGTTCAAGGACGAGCTCAAGATTGCGAGTCGGCTCAGGCACCGGAACCTTGTCGAATTGATAGGCTGGTGCTGCGATGGCCAGAGGAGCCTCGTTGAGTTTATATGTTGGTGGCGGGATGACATGTGCACACGTCTCTTTCTTGTGTATGAGCTTGTGCCACAGGGTAGCCTCGATCAACACCTACACGAGGGCAAGAGTTGGTTACCATGGTCCAAGAGGTATGCATTGTAATTCCAGCTCGACAGCATTTACATCGCTTCATTGAACTCAGTTTTTCTCTTACATAACATAACACATGGTTACATTCTTTGAAAAAACAGGTACGAGATCATCCTCGACCTAGGCTCTGCACTGCAATACCTCCATGTAGATTGCGAGCAACACCAACAGTGTATTGTACATGGTGATATCAAGTCCAGCAACGTGTTGCTTGGGTCTTCAAATGGTGCCAAATTAGGTGATTTTGGATTGACAAGATTTGTTCACCAAGAAACCGGGTCAAAGACCACAGACCTTGTGCAGGGCACTTGGGGATATATAGACCCTGTGTTCCTTAACACGAGCCAGCGGAACAGGCAATCAGACATCTACAGTTTTGGCATTGTCCTACTAGAGATGGTCTCTGGAAGGGACCCAACGGCGAGACTCGATGGTATGCCTCCGTTATCGTCATGGGTAACGAGTTTGTACCACAACGATGCGATCCTTGAGGCTGCAAATGACAGGTTGATAGGCGGCGAGTCCAGTATTGGGCGACAACAAATGGAGCGTGTGCTACTTGTCGGGCTCTTGTGTGTGCACCAGGACCCGAGCAGCCGGCCGTCCATCACGCACGCCATGGATTCCCTGCGATCGGAGGAGCTAAAACTGGACATCACTCCCCTGGCACCGGTGACACTGTCCCTACCATAGCCTTTGTAGTCCAAAAACCACAAAGAAATACCATACATGTATTCAAGGGATACAAATTGAGAACAGGAATCATGTACTAGAAAGTTGGATTTGTGCGTCAAATGATGACCTCGCACACTTGAGAAGTGGCTAGATTTCTTCGATGATAGTAAAAGTGTTGTTTTTAGTTTTTATATGATTTTAATACATATTTTACCTATTTTTTATATTGATATGCTTGAACCGGGATGTATCGGGAATAGGAATCATGTACTAGAAAGCTGGATGTGTGCGTCAACTGATGACCCCGCACATTTGAGAAGTTGCTACATTTCTTTGATGCTAGTACAAGTGTTGTTTTCAGTTTTTATATGATTTTCAATACATATTTTATCCATTTTTTATATTGATATGCTTGTATGAAACTATAAATGATAATATCATAAGAAAATATGCAACAGGTATAATAACAATACTTTAGTTGACTAATTTAATTATAAACATGAACATACTTTGCTTGTACATATATTGTGCCACCTCTTTATCTGCCGGCCCCCATATCAAACCATACAGTGTAATGCATTAATCAATCAGCATAGTATTTCTGTAAAATTGAAAGAAAAAATAGTTACACCTTGAATTAGCATCATTTAGAAATGAATCTACCAATCGTGTTGTTTTTTGCATTTACTTGGCTCATTTGCCTCTAACCATGGCTTGCTTCTACGAGTCATCGTTGATAGTTAGACATCAAAGAAGGAACACCTCAGCTTCAAAAAAAAAAGGAACACCTCATATATTTCTCTTTTATTTGGAGGATCTTCACACAGAAATAAAATATCAATACTGGTGATTGATATATAAATCTTATGTCCTCTTTATTGACCCGCTTCATCATTGGTTGTATTTTAACCATTTTATTCTTTTAGTGGAATGCGATGCATCTGTATGATTCTATGGCACAGACAACTAATTCAAGTATATTATGAAATTTTGCTTTGTATGTAATCTATATGGAGTTCTAACCCGGTTATCAATGTGGCTCTTAAATATCATATAGCCAATACAAACGGCTTTTTTTGCAAAGCCAGTATATTATGGAGGCTTTGTTATTTTGCATGAAACCACCCACGAATTATATAATAATAAGTTGGGTGGAGTAAACAATGATTCTCTTCGATTTTGATATGGAGGCTTTAAAGATCAATTTTGAGAAAGCCCACGACAAGGCGTGCTGGTCATTTCTAAAAAAGCCTGGTAGGGGAAGAGTTTCTCTTCGATTTTGGAGAGCTTGGGTTGATAACGTTGTTTACAAAGGTAGTGTTTCCCTTGAAGTAAACAATGATGTTGAACAGTTGTTCAATCTAGGGAAGGGGGCTAAATCAAGGGGATCCTTTATCACCTATTATGTTTAATACAATGGCTGGATAAGTTAAGTATCTTTATTAATTCTTTGCAAAAAAGGTAGCCTATAAAAACGTCTTGCATTTTAAGACGGAGGAGTGTAATTAACCTCCATATTGTAATGTACAGGCGGTTCTGCTAATTAACCATCGCATCCTTCCGCTCCTGTCCCTCAGAAAGTATGTGTCGGTTGATGTGTCTCTTAAAGAAGTATATATTGTAAACATCATCAGAGAAAGAATACAAATGTTCATTTGCAATCAGTTCTCAAACATTAATCCCTCCGTCCCATAATATAAGATGTTTTTCCAATCTATTTTAAACTTGCAAAAACCATTTTATATTACGGAAGAAGTATTCATCAACATAGCCAAGGAAGATAGTCAAATTAAAAGACTTATCCGGTTATCCCTAATCTGGTTAATGCTGGTCGTTTAGTCTTCATTACATGTTCGAATGGAGCCAATATGAAGCTTGTTGTTTATTCCAGCTGGTACACAGGATGTGAGTGAGACGTTGAGGTTCAACCCACCAAAAACTTGATGCAGTTCCAAGATTCTTTGTCCGGTCTGGTATTTTTCTGTACATCTTTATCTTTTTGTAGGTAAGAACTTCGATCATATTACGTGTTTGGAGTGTGATGACTGCACGGAGTAGTTATCAAGATCTGGATCACTGGGTTTATTGTTTTTGTTTTCTTGTAAAATGTGACCTCAGGCTGTGATGAGACTTGTCCGATATGTACAACATATCTAACTTAATCAAAAGATGTCACACAGAACTGTGATAAACAGCAATAGGAACATAAGCACATACACATCGAATAGCGCAAACAAAAATGGAGTAATAGTAACCCAGGCCCGGGGATGATCAGAATTCGGCAAACATGTGTGCTTATTTCTCATGATGAGATATTATTGACTTCACCACATCACAAGCAAACATTGAATGACAATCATCCACGTGCAGTTTCTACTTGAAGCGACAAATTTAAAAAATCCGCACAAGGGAAATGATAATTATCTACATTTTATTGTTCTTCACCATCTCTTCCACGTCGAGCTCTACCGCCAAAACCGGCGAATCCTGGAACATGGCTACACGGCTGTGGCAAACAAAGTAGGAACAAACATTTCAGCAACAAACATTTCAGCTCATGCTTAAAGTAATTGTTTCAGCGCTGAATTTAACAAAGGGAATAGGGGGTCCTCCTACCTGTTGTCCACTGGGCCATGATCAACAGCAGTTCTTAAAGAGTATATAACTCTGCCAACAATATCAGTCATAGGGACCGGCCCAAATAGGCGGCTGTCCCTAGCTTCCTATCACCAAAACAAATAACAAACAATTATGAGAAATCCAATATTACTTATTCACTCGGTCATTATGAACACACTATGTATCTATGATGAGGATGCCTCCCTATCTCATGTTTCCATAACTAATAACTAAAATATAAATACAACCTTGTCAAAGCAAGCCAACATAATTATTTACTATTACTAATTGATGTACGACACTGTTGCCTTCAGCGATTGGTTACACTCTATACTTTATGCTTTATGCTTTATGTATCTACAATGAGGATGTCTCCCTATCTCATGTTTCCATAACTAATAACTAAAATATAAATACAACCTTGTCAAAGCAAGCCAACATAATTATTTACTATTACTAATTGATGTACGACACTGTTGCCTTTAGCGATTGGTTACACTCTATACTTTATGCTTTATGCTTTATGTACCTACAATGAGGATGTCCACTTATATACTCATTCACTCAGTCATGCTCTATGCTTTATGTATCTACAATGAGGATGTCCACTTATCTCATGCTTACGCAACTAAAATATAAATATACTCTGGTTGAAACAATCCAATATAATTATTTACTACTACCTCCATTCCGAATTATACGATGTTTGGGATATTTCAATATGGACTACATAAGGACTGAAATGAGTGAAACACTAAAACCCGTCTATATACATCCGATTCAGAAAAAAGTTAGAACATCTTAATAATTCGAAACAGAGGGAGTATTACTTATTGATGTACCATACCTTTGCCTTTAGTTCTTGGTTATCCGCCATGACCCAGCATTCGTCCTTGTCAAGTACAAAGGGTTCATCCTTCTCATCAGTAGAGACCATCTCATAGCCTTGCACTGCAGCCAGTCGTCGGACAATTAAATCATCAGATTTCTCTGGGTCCTTCAACAAGACGATGTCCCCAACAAAGAGTTCTCTGTTGACACAATTAAATGCATAAACAACACCAATATATCAAGAGATTATTAAAGGCTTAATACCGACCCAATACATATCCTCTTTAATTCTTTGTATTAAGGCAAGGATTTAAGCAATAGAAGATGCCAAACTTGACACAAATACACGATAGTGCTACTCTTGAGATCAATCGGTTGATTTAAAGGAAAGATCAGGTTTCAGTCAGCTCAACACATGTCACATTGTGACACAAATTTGAATGGTAATTAGACTTAATACAATTAGAAAACTATCACATTTTCTAACCGAACAGAAGACAAGATCAATAACAAAAGATAGTATCAAAAATTATCTGCTCATACTGAATCTAACGCAATAATAGTAAAAATGGAAGATCAGAGAATTATGATACATCTGAATAACAAGGAAAGTGAAGGTATCACATTAGAAAAAATAGCTGATGAATATTGCCGGTAAAAACCTTTTAAGTGGCAATTCCCACAAAGTTGATGTTGTGCCCCTTTAAAACACCAGAGTTACAAGACTGATAAGAATTGTTGTTACTATTACTAGCATGGAACTTCTTTATGAGATCAGATAAGTAGGCAAACCAGTTATCAGTTCTGTACAGGATCCCAGTATATATTGCAGTTAAACTATTCTTTCGGTCATTCAGATATTTTACAGTTAAAAAAATTAGGACCGTACAGAAATGGAGCCAAATGCTGTATATATGTGGTCCAAGGCTAAGCCTATATCATATCCATTCCTGATTCAAGTCCTTTTTGTCGCCAATGAACGAGCTGTGTACAACATCAGCCTGATCCAAACATCACGTCCTGAATAAATTCACCACATGTATTGCTGCAGCCAACAGCAAGGCAAACAAGAAAATACACTACTATTAACTATTTGTGAACACTAGTTCATTTATGGAAAATTTACCACAGGCAGCCACCTCTATAAATACTCCATCCGTCCCGAGTTAGTTGTCTTAGAATTTTTCTAGATACAGATATCTATACACGTTGTAGCATTATAGGTACATCCGTATCTAACAAATCTAAGACAACTAATTTGGGATGGAGGTAATATGTAAGAAAAAAGTGTTTTTCACTGATAATTTTCAGCCTATGTTAGAGTTAATTTGTGAGCTCAAAATGTATGACTATGTGATGTGTTTTGATGTTTTGTATGTATAAAGGAAAGTGATGTTGTTTATTAAATGTGTTGTTGATGAAGATGCATTATTGTTTATAAGTATGTGTTGCTATTATAATGTCTTGTTGTTTATAAAATGTGATTATATGTTGCTTTTTATGACTGTGAGTTGTTCATTTTGATGCTTTGCAAACACGGGTATTTTTACCCGCGGGTACCCATCTACCCTGTAGGGTAACGGGCATGGGAAAGAATTGTGCCCGTTAGTGGGTATGGGTAAGGGTAATGGGTAAGCTCAAGGGAGGCGGGTAAGGGTATGGGGTGGCTCCACCCGTACCCAAACCCTGCGGGTGCCATCTCTAGTTATGCTCAGACATGTTAATTCACATGATTATTATTTTTATCTTGCCTCGACCTTCCTTTTAAGAGGTTTCTATGTAGAAAAAACAATTAGTACCACAGTAAGGACCACTTTGTTATTTTGTAAATCTGCAATATCTGTACCAACATAAAAAGTACTCCCTCCGTTCCATAATATAAGAGCGTTTTTGACATTGCATTAGTGTAAAAGACGCTCTTACTAGTGTAAAAAAGCTCTTATATTACGGGACGGAGGGAGTACGAGTTAGGGATTCATGCACATCATCTCAGCCATCCAATCTAATCTTACAGCTGAAAAATTAAGTTGAATAGCTAAAAATATATCTCAACTGCACATTTAATCTCGTAATAACAACATATCAATTACCATTAACAATCCATTTTTCATTATATGAGAAACGGCAAATACTCATGACGTCATGATTGCTGATTTTCCTCCCCATATGATGCATTGTTGTGAAATGCCAATGTTGCCATGTTATTCTTTTACTATCACTATAGTCATGCAGCTGCAAAAACAAAATTCAGAGGGGAGTTCTACACCTGGTGGCATTCTATTATTGAAAACGTGGTTTATATATCGGCAAAATGTTCTCTGCACATGCTTGTATTTTTGCTAGTAGTTTGTTAAGATATAAGTATCTTCACTAACTCTAGTAAATTATTTCTGCTTTTGGTTCTTAAAAAGATGTTAACGTGTCAACCAGCAGCAAGCTAAAGTTATTGCTCTGGATAGTTCTTGATTTGTTTGAGGAACATCCAGTAGCAAATTATATGTAGTAATGTTAGTTAACTCTTTAGATAGAGGTTGAACGCCATTACCAGGAAAGTCTTAATTTTGATTCCGGGCAGCATCCACTTGTTACCATACAGTGCAGAATAGAGGATTTGACAAGGCTAAAAGGTAAAAAAGAAAAGATTAAGCATCCAAACACTGATAATACCTAGATTTTGCAGTGTTCAAGAAAGAGTTTTTAAGCGACGCTTAAGTGCTGAGCAATGGCAAAACACTTCGCTTTGGTCCTAAGCAGTAGATTAAGTTTTTTTTAAATTTTTTTTTGCTGTTTTTGAACTACTTCTGCTTGGCTGCTTGCGCAATAACGGCAATATGCCATTTATCTTGTTATTAGGATCTGTTCAGCAAACTATTTCCTTCAGACTCTGGCCAAATTCTGGCTACATGATCTCTATTAGGCTATGTCAATTTGAAGTGAAGTGCATTTTAGTTGTTATTTTGCTTACTGTGTGAACCTGATGTGTATTTGCTATGATGTGAATTACATTTTAGATGCTACTGCATTTCACTTAAATGTGTGCTATATTTCCTATTTTCCTTTGCATATCATTCACAAACAGTAGAATTCTGGCCAATTTCTAAAAACGCTTAAGCGCAGGCCTTCCGCTTCGCTTACGCTTTCCGCTTTTTCGAACATTGAGATTTTGATCTATGTTCATTTGAACCATTTATGTAGAGCTAGCTTACAGAAGTTCATTGAACAGAAATATAAATCTTAAAGCAAAACAAAGAGTGCTGCTTCTACACAATAGCATGTTATTGATTAACAAAAAAAAGGATTACTTTGGGGATAAAGTGGCGAGCTTTCTGACGAGGACAGTTCCTCCTGTCGGAGCCAGGACGGGGGCCATGGCTTCCCCCCCTTTGATCCACTGCGGGAAGGTGAGCTTGCCCTGGAAGAAGCTCTTCCAGATAGCATCAGTCATCTCAGTGCTGTTGATCTGCCCGACGGTGTACTTCTGCATTGAAATGAACAGAAATCAAAATGTAAACCCAAGAAAAGAAATAATCACACACAAAGAACTGCCCTGCATCCAGTACACGATTTGGTCACGGTGCGCAAGACGAGATGCATAGGATGCACTGATTTTGAGTGAGGTTCTTCTTGCACAGGATTTGGTTCTAGGATTGGATGAATTAGCTCTGAACCCGAGGGATCGGGAGGGGGGAGGTTGGTGGGTAAGGGGGTACCTTCCAGGAGAGGGAGATGGAGTACTCGAACTTGTGGGCGGCGTAGCGGAACCACGTCGACAGCGAAACCATCTTCTTCCCCTCTCCTCCCTCTGCGGTGCCTCGCCCGAGGACCTAGCTCTTCCTCCTCCTCCCGATGTCCTGATCCCCTCTCTCCCGCTCGATTGGGACGGCGGCTACCGTTGCTGCTCCCGGCCGGAAATCCTGGAGCGCGGAGGGGGGAGGGAGGGGGGCTGCCTGGCAGACGGAGACCGGAGGGGGAGGGGGAGGGGGAGGGG